CTAGCATGCTTATGATGAACTTTGTGAGAATGAGCATGTGAATGTGTAAGTGTACAAGATGAAGAAGCTACATGAGATGCACAAGGAGCATTAGAATTCTTATGTTTGTGTGCATTATAGCAAAATTTAGATAAATGACCTTTTCGGCTGCAAATACATGTGTGCATAATGAGTGGATGATTTTGACTTAGCACACATATTCATAAGCTTCTTATGGTTGTTAATGCATATTTTTAAAGTTGAATCTAAAGATGAAATACTATTTTTCATAAGATTCAAATCTTTATTTTTAGGTACATATGCATTTTTAGAAGTAGAACATAAATAATCATTTATAAAAGAAGCTGTATCATTCTTTATGTTCTCTACTTCTAACATGGCATCAATCTTAGCATGAGATAGGCTAGCAATAGATGAGATCAAATTTCTATTTTCCAAATTTAATAAATCATTGCCAATTTTAATTTTTCATTGTTTTCTTTAAGGATCACATTTTCATTAGAAATAGTTTCAAACTTAGATGCTAACAACTCATGATCGGATTTCAAAATTTCATGCTTGCTTTTTAAATTAATGAAATCATTTTGCAATTTGTTAAAGGCATGTAATAATTTTTCACTAGCACAAGCAAGTTCATCATTAGTTAAATCATTAATGGTTTCGAACTTGCAAACCTCACTAGGGCTATCGCCTAGTGCACTTGTGCATGAAGCTCCTTTAGAACTTGAAGCGGGATCCTCCAAAGCTTGTCAGATCACCTCCAATTCTCCTTGATGTGCTTCAATAAATTTCCATAAGGTGTAAGCACTATCAAAATGAACAAACTTGTTAGACATAGATGAGTTAAAAGCATTTCGCAAATATTCCAACAAAATATTGTTCATTGTAAACATACGATGATCATTTTTATTCCACTTGGATTTCTCCAAAATGGGCACAATATAAGCACCATCTATAATTTCCCATAAATCAAAATGTTTAGATCTAACAAATAGTTTAAATCTAACACACCATTGGGCATAGGGGAAATTGTCTAATCTAGGAGCAATACTAGAATCAATACGTGCGGATTCGAGAGGATGTCCTTCATGGACGGCTTCTCGGGGTACAACCAAATCAAAATGCACCCCGAAGACGAGAAGCACACTGCATTCAGGACCCCCATGGGGGTGTACTGCTATACCGTCATGCCGTTCGGACTCAAGAACGCTGGCGCAACCTACCAACGAGCCATGAGCATGATCTTTCGAGATCATTTGCGAAAGACGGTCGAATGCTATGTGGACGACTTGGTCGTGAAGAGTCGCCATAAGGAGGATCACCTCCAAGACTTGAAGGCTATGTTCGAACTCATGAGGACTCATCAGCTCAAGATGAATCCTACCAAGTCATTCTTGGGAATGTCTAGCGGTAAATTCCTCGGTTTCGTCGTCACGACGAAAGGGATCCGAATTGATCCAGACAAGGTGCGAGCTATTCAAGAGCTCCAACCACCCCGAAATCTTAAAGAGCTGAGAGGCCTTCAAGGACGACTGGCTTATATCCGAAGATTCATCTCGAATCTCTCGGGCAAGTGCCAACCCTTCTCTAAGCTGATGAAGAAAGGTACCTCCTTCGTCTGGGATGAGCCATGCCAAAAGGCTTTTGAGGAGATCAAAGCTTATCTCTCAAATCCGCCTGTCCTTGCGGCGCCAATCTCAGGAAGGCCATTCCTCATATACATACGGGCTATGGAACATTCTCTGGGTGCCCTCTTGGCTCAGAACGATGATGCAGGCCACGAGCAGGGCATCTACTACCTGAGCAGAACCTTGCAGGGCGCCGAGCAACGGTACCCAATGGTCGAGAAGGAATGCCTAGCCTTGGTGTTCGCTATCCAAAAGATGCGGCACTACTTGGTTGGCCAAACCATCCATGTCATCTCCAGGATGAATCCCATTCGGGTCTTCATGACACAACCCGCAACGTTAAACTGGCGCCTGGCCAGGTGGGCGCTTCTGCTCTCTCAATACGATATTCATTTCATGCCACAGAAATCAGTCAAGGGACAAGCCATCTGCGATCTCATGGCTAGTCACCCACTGGGGGTGAAGGCCGATCTTTTCGAAGATCTGCCGGATGAACCTCCCGAAGCCAATATGACTTCGTCGCTAGAGGTATGGCAGATGTTCTTCGACGGCGCGTCTCGCGCAGGCGTGAGCGGTTCTATTTCTGCAGGAGTGGGGGTGACCCTCACCTTCCCGCATGGTCACGTGTTACCCCGGGCCTTTTCCTTGACGGAACCATGTACCAACAACGTAGCTGAGTA